CCCAAAACCTGAAAAAAAGACTCAGAGCCCGGTCCTGGCTCTTGGCACCTGCCGTCACCCCTCACTTGTTGAAGACTAGCTGTCTTCTAGCAAGACATCAGTGGTCCTTCTGCCCCGAGACGATCCCCCTCACCTCAGGTGTCCAAAGCTGTAGAAGCGGGACTCGCCATCAGTGGAGCGGACCACCTGCAGCGTGAACATGGGCTGCAGCTGTCTGAGCTCCAGCAGGACAACGGCCAGGTAGTGGATGAAGAGGAGGGCGTCCACGAGGGAGACGGCGTATTGCACGATGCCCTGGTAATTTCGGTCCCGAGAGTCCAAAATGCGGACCCCGTAAAAAAGCCAATAGGAGACCACGAAGAGAAAGATGAGGACCAACAAGAGTGCACGGAACACGAAGATCCGCGGCACGTCGGCTCTCTGCTTGCGGAAAAACAGAGCCCAGGTCCCAATGAGCAGAATCAGGAGCTTGAATGCCATGGAGATGAAGAGTCCCTCGCAGATGGTGCCACAAGGCTCCAGCTCCTCCCGCCACAGGATGGGGGGCAGCAGGATGAAGGCAATGGGGGTGAGGAAGACCAGGAGTCCGAGCACCGTGGCAACGGTGAGGCCCAGGTAGCGTCTGCAGTCCAGCCCCACGCTGTCCTCCATGTCCTTGGTGATGCGGGCGATGTCCTCCTGCGAGATGCTATGCTCCGAAGTGCCTGTGATGGCCGTGGTGGTCTCCCCCCAGTTGTCATCCTGACAGGGAGAGAACAGTGAGGATGAAGAGCCACATGGCAGGTCACGTGTAAAAGCCACAAAGCCCGCGGAGGCACAGGGGACAGGGAGGGCCCACCTCCTTCAACCAACCCACGTGAGTGGGCTTCCTGGGAAATGGAGGCTTAGCTCTTTAAATAGAGGAATTTTTAAACTTTAACAATTTTCATTGAAATTTTTCAAAATGTATTATATATCTACCTTTTCAAACAGAGAAAACATAATTTGACCTGTTTGTGTGTTTGGGTGATTCGTGACTACAACAGTGATTATCATCCACTGTGTTGGCTTCCCTGAGAGGCTCGGGGATAGACAATCCTGCTGTTAGACTAACGTGTGCGAGCGCACCTACCGCCTAAGGAGAGAACCCTCTGCACTTCCTTCTTAATTCATGGCTGGGCGATAAAGGCTTACTTTAAAGCCCAACCCCTGAGTGGGGAGCATTACTACGCCCTCCAGGAGCTCTGACGAGGGAAGATCTTGCACAGGAGGGAAACTTACATGGCTACATACATATCAAAAGCCTCCTGTAGTTGGTACGCACATTTTTTAAAACTCCATGATGTTTTCCGTAAGTATCAAGCAATCTGACAACATTTCTCATTGAACAAGCTAAGCAGATGCAAGTATCTCTGGCCAGGACAGCTCAAAAATTCCTCCCTAAACACATGTTCTCATGGCAAACTAAACATCAAGAGCATAAAAATACTGAGATTGGGCTTCCCTGGTGGCGCAGTGGTTGAGAGTCCGCCTGCCGATGCAGGGGACACGGGTTCGTGCCCCGGTCCGGGAAGATTCCACGTGCCGCGGAATGGCTGGGCCTGTGAGCCATGGCCGCTGAGCCTGCGCGTCTGGAGCCTGTGCTCCGCAACGGGAGAGGCCACAACAGTGAGAGGCCCGTGTACCGCAAAAAAAAGACAAAAACAAAAACAAAAACAAAACTGAGATTACTAAAATGTGTGCCTTTTACTTTCTTGCTTTCACTGTCTCACTTTCTCTTGCTTTTTAAAGTCTGAGGTAGTGTGGAGTGATTGTCTCTTCATTTAACATGATCCAGTTGCCAGGGTTTTAAACAATTTCTCTACTTCTCTAGCAACTACGGCATCGTTCCAAAGCAACAACAGAGCAAGAAGACAATGAAAAGCCACATTGGGTCCAAAGAGGTTTTTGCCTCAGAAATTTGTGTACATGACTTAACTTGGAAAAAAACAGTCAGCCACGGTGGTAAGTTGGGTGCAATTAATGCGTAAGATACCAATTTAGAAAAATCTAAGTTGATAGCTGAATCGGCAAGATAGAGATCTCACAGCCAAACGATAACCTCAAATCTAGTAACAATCAAAAAAATTAGGATTCATGAAACGTATAAGCTATGGCAAGAAATAGTGGTGGCGGCAGGGAAGGTCTGGACCTGCGAACAATAGGTCTTCAACTCGGAAAGTTACAAGTATCAAGTACTATGAGGGAAGTTACTAGTTAAGATAACAGCCAGAAGCAACCGCTACTCTCACTGCTGGTAGAAGTTTAAAATGGTACAAATCACTCTTGAAAACTGGTCTGGTAGTTCCATATAAATGTAGATTTACACTTAACTGTATGGCCCAGCAATTCTACTCCCAGATTTTTACCCCAAATAAATGAAAACATACGTCCACAAAAAGATTTGAACCAGAATGTTCTTAACATCTTTATTTTCATGCCAAAAACGATGCAACCCAAATGTCTGTCCACCGGGAGAATGGATAACAAATTGTGGTATATTCATACACTAGAACATTATTCAGCAAAAATAAAAAAGAATGAAACACAGCAAAACATGGATGAGCCTCAAAGTTATTATGCTGAGTGAAAAAAAAGTCCCAAACAAAAGAATATGATTCCAATTATATTAAATTCTAAAACAGGCAAAACTAATCTACAGTGATAGAAATCAAAGCAGGGCTTGCCTTAGAGGGGTTTGGGGGCAGGGATGACTGGGAAAGCATAAGAGAACTTTCCAGAGTGAAAGAAATATATCTTGATAGGAGTGTGGGTTATATGGGTTTATTCAGCTATTACAACTTTTCAAACTGTACACTTAAGATCTGTTCATTTCTCTGTGTGAATTTACTTCAATTTTGAAAAAGAAAACAACACAAGCACGAGAAGAAACAGCCACACATTCAAAGATGGACAACTTGCTTTAACATAAGGTGAGTTTACAGATCAGTGAAGTCACTTTGTAGCACTCTTGGTGAAGGCAAGTATTGGATTCCATGTTTTGTATTGGGCCTAATATTCAGCTGATGTTCAGTATTGAAATAATGATCACTAGCATTGTGGTCATTTTGTTATGTAGCTGATTTAGCTTCTCACCCTTTTTCCTGCCAAAGAGTTGCTAACTAAATCCCCTGTCCATTTTAAGAATATGTGCACATCTGTGCCTAAAAAATGAAGATATCCAACAATCTTCCCAAGACTGAGGTTCTTAGAAGAGAAAGGATCTTAGATCTTCTATCTCAATCCCCTGCATTTTCAATGAAGAAACTGAGGCCCACAAAGGTTGTGAATGCCCAAAGTCAAGTCACACAGCCACTGAGAAGTACAGCCTCCAAATGCCCACTTCAATGCTTTTCCCTGGTGTAAACACCAACAGCTTCCTAATGTAGCTTCCTAGAGAGCTACAAGATGTAGAGAAGATGACAGACGAAATGCCTTCACAGTGGGCCACCAGCACCTCTGAATTCACATCCAGGAGGAAACTGACCCCTGCAGCACTTAAGGGTGGCCCCGTCTTAGGATTGGCCCCATCCATCCAACCATTCCTCTGGCCCTCTGGCTCTCCATCCCTATGACTGCCCCAGAGCCAAGGCAGGCTGTGCAACAGTAAGGACTAAAGGCATTTACTTACCACTGAACAAACCCCACATTCAACCACAACTGCAGCTTTGGCTTCTAAGAGCATCTTGCATGCTCTGAAGAATTCCAATTTCAGTCCATATATCTGCTTATAAATGCACATCTGTCTGTACCCATAGGTACACACAGATACATGCTTATCTATATCTTTACAGCTGTGTGGGCACACATCAGTTTATTTGGGGCTAAGGCTAGACATGCATATACTTCAAGGGGCTGTGCAAACATGTTTCTGAGTATAGCTCAGATGTTTATTCAAATCAAGTAGACTGTGAGACAGTTGGGACCCAGAGAGAAGAACACACACAATGTTTTAAAAAAATTAATAAATAGTCCATACTTTAAAATTGGATGATTTCACATAAAATCCTAACTTCCAGCTTTTCTTAAATATTGCAAGACCCAGGAACACTTAATTCCTGCATTCCTGGTGTTTCCCTGACAGAGGAAATGCATTCTCCAGGTGCCAGATTCCATCACTCCATGCCATAGCCCTGACACTGACATGCCACACAGATTGCTATTTACTCCCAAGCTAGCCTGATATATTTTTGCCTCTTCTGTGTAACCCAGGGTCTATTTCACTCACCTATGTTTCCCTAGCAGGCATCTAAGTGTATAGCTCCAGGTTTAGTGAGGCTTCATCTGGGCCGTCCTAACCTCTCAGCTCTTCTTCCCAACATGACTTAGGGTCTCTGGAGAGCGAGTTTCCTTCTCTCTTACACTGTTCTACTTTGGAATGAGTCTCCAGGGCCTGCAGCCTGCAACTTTCCCTTCTCTGCTCTGTCGTCAGCCTTGCTGGCTTCTTTTCAACACCATTCAAAGGAGGCCAACCAATCACACTTCAGAAGAATCCTCAAGCTAGCCAATGGTAGGTCAGGCTGTCCTTAGACCAACAAGAAACCACAGGATATAGATAAACTAATTAACATGCTAGAGAAATAAAGATAAAAACCCAAGAGAACCTATTACAACAAGACTTGGGAAAACATTTACAGAAAAGAGGCTTGATCGAGTGCCAGTGTACTTACAGACTGCCTTTGATCCTTACCTGAGCTTCCTCCGTCCGAGTAGAATCATTTGCCAACAAGGGCTCTCCGGTGGGAGCTTGAATGGTGACAGATTTTTCTGACCCTCTGCCATCTTTATTCCGGGGTGATTTGTGCCTCTCTCTATTTCTTTCCCTGAAAAAAAATAATAAAAGATAAATCCGCTAGCACATTTATGCCATGTTAATTAACCCTCATCAAAACATGTTATAGGACTTCCTTGGTGGTGCAGTGGTTAAGAATCCACCCACCAACACAGGGGACACGGGTTCAAGCCCTGGTCCGGGAAGATCCCACATACCGCTGAGCAACTAAGCCCGTGCACCACAACTGCTGAGACTACGTGCCACAACTACTGAAGCCCATGCACCTAGAGCCTGTGCTCTGCAACAAGAGAAGCCACCGCAATGAAAAGCCTGTGCACTGCAACAAAGTGTACCCCTGCTCGCCGCAAGTAGAGAAAGCCCGTGTGCAACAACGAAGACCCAACGCAGCCAAAAATAAATTAATTAAATTAAAAAAATATATTGTTAAAAAAAAACAAGTTATAAATTTCATTTTGAATTTAAGAAACTTCTACACACACAAACACACCCATCCCACCCCCCGGCAAAGAGTAAGCTGATCTTTACTCCCTACTTACTATTTTCTTTCTGCCACTCCAAGACCCCAAAAAAGACTGTCACTTCTTCTCTATCAACAGTGATCATATTTTTTCAAAGCCTAATACTGTGAACTTTAGAATTTCTGTAGGTAAGGCACATTTCATTGTAAAATTACTGACTTGAGTTGATCATAATTCGCCTAAACTTATTTTCTAGGACTTTTTTTATCGGGACAACACCGCAAAATACTTAAGTTTTGGTCTGTCCCAAAAAATCTGGGACACACTGTCACCCTACACCTTTGGACAAGAAGAGAAGAAAGGAAACCCTAAACCAATACAGAGAATCAGTTACTTCCCATTACTACAAATTCAAAACTAAAAGTCATTCCCATAGATTCTAGATGAACTTAAAGCACCCACAGAAACAGGCAAAAGTTAGAGCAAATGACCCCAAGAGGTACACACACGTGTGTGTGTGTGTGTGTGCGCATGTGTGTGTGTTTTCAGGCCCCCTAAGGAAAGCAGGCTGTTGCATCGTTTTACCCCAGATGAACTTCCTGGGTGGTCTTCCAGGGTGACGATGAGCACACCCTGCTGTGGGTCAATGCTGAAATTAGGAAAGGAATCAACCACTGTGCAAAGCCCAGGGGTCATGACCTGGCCATTAACCACCTCTGGAGACTGGCACCTCTACCCCCAACTGTGAAGAGTCAACCCAGGAGCCCCTCCAAAGGAGCCCCTCAGTGGCCAAGAATAAGTTCCCTCAAACTCCGTCCCGCAGGCCGCCCTGACATCAGTCCTCCTTCCTTCACCCATGCGCCCTCCTCCCCAAGGTCTCCCAGGCAGGACAGAAGCATCGCACACACACACTACAGAGACAGACGGTCAGATTTTGGTTCTGCCCCTACCTGATGTGTGAGCTTGCACACGTTACTGAACCTGCCAATTAAAGAATGTCGCTCACCAGTGGCTCTAAAAGGATGAAGTCACTAGCCCCTGCTGTTGCTGACCTTCGACACACCCTGAAAGGAGTTCAGGGCAGAGATCAGGAATGAGGCACTCTGTGCTCTGAGAACACTGGCAGAACAGCCCTTCAGACAGTTAAACATTTTCAGGAGAAAATGTTATGAACCCAATTTCTCGCATCTTCTCATACCTAGAAAAGCACTAAAATCATTAAAGGAGACGTCTGCTCCTCATGACCAGCAGCAACCTTCTACCAAGATGTGTGCCTGCTTGCATGTACCCCTTTCGTCAAGTCATATATATGCTGACCTCCCCCACTACCTCTTCAGAGCAGTTCCTCAGAGCCATGTGAGAGGCTGTCTCCCAGGCTTTAGTCTTCAGGAAGCCCCAAATAAAAGTGACCTCACAGCTCTCATGTTGTGTTTTATTTCAGTTGACAAGCCTCTGAAAAACCTCAGTTTCATCATCTATGCAATGGGGATAACAATCTCACCACATAGACACAGGGATGTGAAATAATACACTGTGGCTATTATTACTGCTATTACTATCCACAGATGGCAAAGAATGGTGGCTTGACATGGTGAAGCAGAGTATGTGTTCCTTGGAGACAGATGAAAAAGAAGCTTTTAACACACAATCAAACCCCCTCCCCCCGCACAGCATCCCTCCTATTAACCTACTACTTAGCTAACAAAACCACATGCAGACTTTCTGTGGTCAAACTTCTGCTTTATCAGTGTCTCCCTAGGATAAGCCCTGGTTAATTCCTTCAAAGGGCAGGGAGGCTTCAGCTGTCCCAGAGACGCTTTCAGTGATACCATCTCTAATCCCTGTAGCGTAATTTATCACTACAATCTATTGCTAAATTAGAGTCCAGAAATAGATGTGTTCTGGTCAACTCTGGTGTTTTATTTTAACTGGGCAACTAAGGAAACAGCTAAGAGATATTGTTTGTTTATCCAGGGGTGTGTCTCACTGCCAATCACTCCACTGCCCACCCCAATTTAAAGAGCACTTTACCAAGTGCTTTCTTATATTAATCTTGTTCAATCCTAACAATAACCCTATGTGGTATTATTGTCTGCATTTTATAAATGAGGAAACGGAGGCTCACAGAGGTTAAGTGACTCCCCAAAGTCATAGCAAGTGGCAGAGCTGGATGTGAACCCACTGCCTCGATTCAGACCCGCTCTGCGGCACTGATTTGAAGAGCAACTGGAAGATTTTGTAGCGTAAGTATTCCTTATGCTCATTCCCACACCCTGAACTTGATGAACTTACCAGAGCTATGGAATCTGCCTTTGAAGCTACTGCTAGAAGTCATGACTGGACCATGACCTTGGAGAACACAAAGCAGTGCACCCAACACTCTGGCTGCCAAAGACAACCACTTCAAAAGGACTCACTGTGAGAAACAATAAGCAGTTGGGGAAAGTTTTCCCATGTGTCTGATCAGTCTTAGCTGTTTAGACTAAGTCTGGAATCACTGTTCCCCAGGACCCCCACCTTGGCCAGGCCAGACCGAGGCACTGCTCCTCTTACTGTGTTTCCACTTTCCCCAACTGCTCTCACATCTATCACTGTCCTGCCATCTGCCAAGTCACGTGCTCCCCTAACCCATCAATCTCTTCACTAGTCCCACGGGTCAAATCCTGTGACAGCACAAATTCCACTGGAAATCAAAATTCTTCCACCGAGTGCCAACTCCTGCAGGCTGAACACTACCAGGGCCGGAGCGGATAGGGAACCACCCAGGGCTGGAAACAGCCTCTCAGGGGCCAGCCCTTCCTCGACCCTACCCCAACTGGCCCAGCCCTGGCCCTTAAAGGGCCCGACAGTCCCCAAAGGAGACGCAATCTCTACAGTTCCCCTGGTAACATCAGAGGTAAACCAGCCTATTACCTGACAGCCCCAGAAAGGTTCCTCATCCTCCAAGCCCCAAACCCTAAACCACTGCTTCTCACACGTGAATGTGCAGACAAGCCACCTGGGGTGCAGATGAAGTACAGATTCACTGGCCCCATCCCCAGAGAAATAGTCCGGAGGGGAGAGACACCAGGAATCCGCCCTTTTCATCAGCACCCCAGGTGATCAGGAGGCAGGTGGTCCAGGAAACTCTGCCCAAGGCTCTCCCACCCAAATGCTCCTGGGGGAGGAGGTTGTTGGAGCAACTACTCAGAAATTTCCCTGTTTGTAAAATGCCCTGTATACAGCGGGGGCTCAATAATGGGAGATGTGAGTGCAGCGCTCAGCTACACAATGTTGCAGTGTACAGTGTGGCTTCTATACCAAAACAGCATTAAGTGCATGAGGCTGGGAGCAGGACTCAGGACAGTGTGCATCAGGCCCAGAGCCAAGACCCTTCCATTCACTGTCAAGTAAGGGGCCGACGGAAAGCTCACCCTATCAACTCAACGTGGGCTGCATGTCGTGTTGGTCCTTGTCAAGGGAGAAAGACCTGTTGTACAGCTTTTATAAAAATCACTGGTCCTGAATTACTGCCCTGAATTACTGTCTGAGCCCAGACTACATAGAGAAGCCCAACAAAAAAGGCTGCCTTCCAAGTGCTTTCCAGCATGCAGGGCTATGAGCCCAGTATGGCTGCCACTTCACTGCATCGGTACCCAAACGTTCATCCCCAGAGCTCCAACTGCCGTGATGTCAAGGACGTGCCAAGTACCCTCCAGGAGGGGGCCCGCCAGTGGTGAAGACCACCAGTCCACGGTGTCTAAGAGAAACAGGAGACAGAGAGTAGGCTACCAAACCACAGAAAGGATTTTTCAAACACACGCGCACTTGGTGTTTCTCCAACTCCACCCAAGTTGTCTGGATCAGCTACGCATCTTTGCTGGGCAGGTGTGTCAGCCACAGGAATCCTTGTATCTTTATCTCTGAGCCTGTCTCCATGCATCATGTGCCCGTATGAGTAAAGATAAGTCAGGGGTCGGGGGCAAGCAGTAACATGCTGGAGGCCTGGGCATGTGTCTGTACCTGCACGTGTGTGACTGTGTAAATGCTTGTATTCAGGCGATTCCAGAGCTCAGCCCTGGGGGTGCTGCTGTAAAGCCCGTCTCACTCTGACCAGAATCCCCGTCGATTCCTAGACCATTCCCACTTACAGTCAACATTTCCTGGGAAGATGATTTTGCCCTCTTTCTGTTGTTTGTCTATTTCTACTTGGGGAAAGCCAGCCCCACCGGTTACTCTTCCCTTTCCTTCTCTACCACCACCCACTACCTGTCCTTTCTCCACCAACTGCGACTGCCGGGGCCTGGCTGCTTCCTCTCGGCACTGCCTTGGGTGCGAGGGCTGGGCACAGGACAAACTGACTTGGAAGCGGCCTCGGAACAAAAGCACAGACCCCCCTACCGCTCAGGCAGCCTCTTTCGGACAATGCATTTTAGTACATTAGTCACATGGCTTACCCTCCACTCCCTTTCTTCCCTATCAGTTACTCTGCCGCTCTCCACCCAGCACAGCCCAGGGAGGAAAGCATGGCTTCCAGAGGAGGACTAAATGGGGCCTGAAACCTGAGGGTCTCTACCAACCTCAGAACTTCAGGCAAATGGTGCTGTCTTTCTGCGTCTCAACTGTATCACCTGTTGAACGGGGGTCCCACCTCCCACCGGTTCTGGGACTGCTGTGAGGATGGGGGATAACGACCAAGGGTCCTAACAGGCACTCTCAGACTGGTCATGAACAGGTACTGGCAGCCGCTGTATTGAACTCGGGGAACTGGTGCTCCAAAACCCAAAGGTTAGGCGAGGTCGGCTGGAGTCTGTGCCGTTTTCCCAGCAAGTTAACTGGATACCCTCTGGAGATGGCAGGTATCACAAAACCAGACCACTAACCTCTTTGTTAGAAGAGAGTCACTTGTCATCTGCTTAGAACCCAGCCAGTCCTCCAGAGATGATCTCGGTGTCATCAGGAAAATCATGTTTGCTGCCCTTCATGATTCCCCGCTGACAGTTCTACTAAGGTTCCTAAAGAGCAAGCTCCCTCTCCTTCCCTACTCTGCCATTCAAATTCCCAACAAACCCCTGAGCAAAGCAGCCCTCACAGGGACACTCCCGGCTGATAGAGACCCTCTGCTGGGTCCAGGGCACGCCTGGGGGAGGCTACTACTACTCCCCAATACCACCCCGACAAAGGACTCCCGGCACCTACTCTCTATGGATTACAACCTCTGCCCCACAGTCACTATGCCCTACAGGGCTGCCTGTCAGGGAATCCAACTCAGAGGCTGTTGCTTTTCTAAAGATGCCAGGAAGTTCACCTATAAATCTCCAATCTCTCACCCTGAGCTCTTCTGAGTAGGCATTCAGCAACACCCTTGGTTAACTTATTAAAGGTCTCGGCTTGTATTATTTGCCAAGTACTTTCCGCAGGGGTCCAAGAAGGCCCTCAGAGTTCTGCATGCTGTTTTCATTGAAAGTTACAGTCTCCTAAAGTTACAAGAGCACTGCAGTATCAATTTCTCGGGGCCCCAAGGGGCCTGAGGAAACAGCAGTGCAGAGCAATGACAGTCGGGACACGAGTCTAGATAAAGGAGGCCAGAGATGGTTCCTCCTCTGAACACTGCAAGGCGTCCCTCTCTACTCATCCCCAAGCACCAAGAGAACCCCAAATTCCCACTCCACTCATCACAGTGTAGGATGGGGAAGCTTGGCACACTGACAAGGGAATTGCTTTTTCTAGTTAAGTTCAAAGATTGGACATTTTTACACAGCTGTTTCTAGTATTTTAGAACAAATCTGATATGTTTACCCACTGATTGAAATTTGTGATTAAATGTTTCTCACCAGAGGGTTCCTGACTTTCTCAGGATCTGGGTTCTGGCATGTTGCTTTACGCCTCACTCAGCAGCCCTCCTTGCTGTTTCCCATGCTGACTAGAAAGCCTTGTCTGGACTCCAGCACAAGCTCATTTACCTCTTTTCCCCAGATTGTTATGACTATAAGAGCAATACATGAAATTTAGAAAATAAGGAAAGTTAAAAACACACACACACACACACACACACAACTATAATCCCAAGAGTTGCACACCTAGAGACAGGCATGGTCAATCTGTTACCATTCATTGTATCATAAGAATATATAACCATTATATGCACAAAGTTTTGAATCTTGTTTTTTAGTAACATGGCATCATATGTATTTTCTCATGTCATTAAATAATCTTTGAAAGTCCTTCTTTTACACTCATTCCATTTCTACTTTTAATCACAAAATATACACTTGTAAAAGACTGAACAAGTGCAGAAAGATAAAGCATAAATGAAAGTTCCTATCAGTCACCATCCTGTGTGGACCCCTTCCCTGTGGATGACCGCTCTGGGCAGCTCGGACACTATCCTTCCAGACCCCTTTCTGCGCGTGTACATCCATACATGCTAACAAACGAATAAATCAATTAGATATCCATATCTTACTGCTGTTTTACAAAACAAAATCCTGCTCTGCATTCAGCTGCTTGTATGGGGAACTGCTTGTCAGTCAGGGAAACACCACTATAATCACCATTCCCAGCCATGGCAGGGCTGTGACCACAGGTGGGCCTTTGAGTGTGGTGCTGAAATGCCAAGGCCATTGATAGCATTAATACAGCCACTGGTTGGTGACCTACTATGTGCTGTGTTAAATGCTTCACAAGCATAATCTCATTTAATCCTCTGAACAGCCCTGCTATACCCATTTTACAAATGAGGGCTCTAAATAAGAGGCAGCACTGCAATTTTATCAACTGCACTCTTCACCAGCACAGTACCACCTCTTCATTCATTCATTTCCTAGTTTCTCTCCTCACCATTCTGCAGGCCTGTAATACTGCAGGCCTTATGAATACCAGTGCCCACCTGTTCATTCCTCACAGAGGAGAGGAAATTTGGCCCCATCACTGAGGGTCAGAGTTTTCAAAACCCAGGCCTGCTCACTGGGAAGACTAGTCAGAGAGAAATAAATAAGGCACTAGGCCAATCCTGTCACTTCAGTGGATAAGCCTCAGGCAAATGCATAATGGATAATGAGTCAGCAGCTTTGGGTGAGAAGCAACAAATTAACACTTTTTTTTTTTTTTGGAACTTTCACTGCATTCTTGGTAAAGCTTTGAGAGAACTGTCATCTATGAAAAGTACTTAGAAATGAAAAACATTTCCACTGAAGGGAGAAACTTTAATTTAAAATCAACTGTGAGAACTTAAAGTCACCAACTGTAACGGTGGCTATAAAATGTAAATTGGTGGTATAGTTCCTCCCAATGCCTGTTAAATGCTCTTGGACTGAACCTCCGGAGTCAACTGCCCTGCAGGGGGACTGTTTGAAAGTGAGCCCAGGCAGCCTGAGCAACCTGCAAGTTTCCCCCAAAGGAAAAGTGGAACAAGCAGTAGCTTACATACCCTTGTCTGTGAGATTTTTTCGAATGACTAGAGTAGTAAGAGTATCCAGAATACGTGGATTCGGTATCCATAGCAACGGAGAGCTTGCTCTTGCTGAAGGAGCAGGTACTGTTTCTCCTTAGAGGTAGAGAATCTCACCTACCGGACTCCTCCTCAGACCTCAAAGGGCCTGGGAATCAAGGACTTACTCTTCGGCAGGAACGAATTCTGGGAAAACAGGAAAAATAAAGGATATCAACCTTCAAAGCCAAACCCGAGGGGCGAGAAGATAAGTGACAGTAGCAACCTCCTCTCTGGGGTCTCTATGATGGAACAAGTGAGCAAGGGTGAGGCTCCTGAGTGCTAAATGCTCCACTCAGGCAGCAGCCAGCTTGCCCAGGTGTCTGGGAGGGGGACGGGTGGGTGCCGGGCAAGCCCAACCCCTGCCCCGCAGCAGCGGGGAAACCCGAGGTGGGAGAGACCTGGCCCTTGGCCATCTCCCAGACACAGCCAGCCTTCCTGGCATCCCAGTCCTAGACACCGTGCCCAGCTCCCACTGCCAGTGTGCTGGTTACAAAACAATACCCAGGGAAGCAGCTTTTAAGGGATTTGCTCAGAGCTTCCGAAACCACTGGGAAAAAAAAAAAAAATGGTTCTCAATCTCTTTAATCCAGGAATCCAAACTCCTGAGAATTTATCTCAGGGAACTAATCTCTTTTTTTAAACGAAAAACTATTATTAGCACATCGTCTAAAATAGTGAAAAGCAAGAAACACTCTCAATGCCCCCCAAACAGAGGACTAGGTCAGGGAAACATGATTCATTCACCCAAAGAAATATCACAGAGCTGTTTAAAATGATAATTATGAAGAACAGAAATTTGTATGATGTAGTGATAAATTTAAAAAGCAGGCTACATACAGCATTGCAGATAGACGCTGAAATCTACATTCCAGTTACAATCACACAAAATCACTTATGTAAGGACAAGGATGACAGAACATCAGAAAATGAAAGCAGGTGATTTATTAGCTGCAGGTTCCTGGGTCTTTTCCCACATTTTCATTAAATATTGCTATGCAATAAAAATAAATTGGAAATGTTTCCAAGTACATTCCTGAGCCCCACATGCTAAGCCTTTACTTCGAGAGAAAGGAGTTCTGCACCCCTCACCCCAGAGCTGGTCTCCACCCCACAGGGCTCCTCCTTCCAGCGCCCCTGGAAGCTGACACTGCAAACGGAGCCAGTGAGATCAGTGTGAAGAAAAAACAAAGAAGCTGCAAATGCCATACCTCTACCCACACTGGGAGGAGGCCAAGGCTCCTGAGCAATGACCTGCCAGCCTGGAGGGAATCACCCACAAACCACCACTGGCCAACACAGTCCGAGCCTCAGTACCACCTAGGTTGTTTGCCCTTGTCATTCATTCCCTAGGGTCTGTCACCTAGGGCTAGCTAGCCTCCCTTGTCCTGATGTCCTGACTCATTATTTCATGGCTGCTCTCCTGCATGAGCCCAAGGTGAGCAGTGGGGAGACCCGGGGTCTAGCCAGGGCTGCTCACTGTCAAGTACAACCTGGGATAAGTCACCTGCCTTCTTGAGCCTCGATTTCCTCATTTGTCAAATGGGGATAAACCAACCAGCCATGGACTTCACAGGGTTGATCTGGAGACATAAGCTGATACAGTATTAGGAGCTGGGTTCCAATCCCAGGCTTTACTCACCTGTTAGCTATACGACCTCAGTCAAATTATTAAATCTCTCTGAACCCACATCTGTAAAAGGTGAATAAAAGGGCTCATGCGAGAAACAAACAAGCTACAACTGTGACCACTCCCAGCACCGGTTCCGATATGCTGGATAAGGGGCATTTGGGGTTATCAAGACTCCCGCGACCAGTCCCCAACCTAGAGGCTCTCCTTGTCTCTCTCAGTAAGAGAAAGACACGGAAAGGAGCAAGACAGAGTGGGTGCCCATGCTCACCTTCCCACCTGAGGCTCACCTGCGGCCAGACAGCGCTGGGCTTGCATCCCAGTGCAGTCCAGGGCTTGCTAACTAGCTGTGTCCCCCTCGGAGCCTCAGGTGTCCTCATCCGTAAAATGGAAATAAGGCAGCCTATTTTGTGGGGTGACTGTAAAGAATCAAATGTGGGAAAAAACCCACTGTGGGCATTTTAAAAACATGTTAGTTTTGCTCTTGGACCTTCCCCCACTTTTCTAGAAGACTTTAAGAACAAGCTCATCTTTTTTTTTTTCTCCCTACTCTTCCCAGCATGTTCACTAGCAATTTCAATGAGCTTTCAGCACCTTAGACTCTCACTTCCTTTCTGCTCTGGGCTATGCTGCTTGTTCTTCTCCATACCTGGCAGACGCCAGCCTCAGGAGGTGAGCCAAGATCTCCAGACCTGCCCTGAACGAGCCTCTTTCCCCAAAGGTCCTTCACCCAGCTCTCTGCTGACCTGCAGGTTCCAACACCCGGCTGCCTGGCCCAGAAACCTGACTGCTGTCTTCTACACCCAGAATTGACCATCCACAACGTCTATACTTCTTTCTGCCCTCCAACCCACTAACTCTCGATTCTCTTTTCCATCCCAGCTTCTAGCTATTTCCGGCTAAATGCTGCTGGGGTGTCTCAGAGGCAGGTGGCCCAGGCCCCGAAGACCTGCACGGATCCTATTCACGCTCCCCAGCCGTGACACCGCGGGGCAGACACTTACCTCTCTGAGCTTATCTCCCCACCCTCCCACCCCCCTGACACCCCCGTAAAATGAGGCCATTTAATATGATCTCTTCCTAGGGTTGCTGTT